TATCTGATTTATTTTTCCATCTAGATTCAGGTTTTCTTCTTTTTCCACCCATCACTCCCAGTCAACATGCTGAGCTGCATAGGCATTGACTGGCAACCATCTCCCTGTGAATCTGACATCAGATTCTTCCACAATTCCAAATTTTCTAAAATGGATCAGATTGCAAAATGTTCAGTTACATAGCCAGCTGATTATTATCTGTCAAGTTGCAAAGTATCAGAAAAGTCAGCATGTGAGTGAGTCAGAAAGTTTCTGAACTTTTTTTTCTTAAGCCTTACTTTAACCCTTTTAGTGCTGTGGACAAATTTTTTAGGCACATGTACTCCTGTTTAAAATGCGAAAGGCCAAATTTTCAGCCACAGCTTTTCATTAGGTTTCTTCCTTGATGTAGTTGGAGTTCTTGTTGTTAGATTGGATAAAATTGACCTACATCATTTTTAGAAGTAGTAGACATGGCTGAAAAATTGCCTGTGCGGCTCTGAAAGGGTTAATGATCATAACAAGTTAACTCCCATATTCTTTTGAATAGTCCCTTCCTGCATGTCTGTCTCTGCCAATGTTGTGACTGCTAGAAGCATTGTTATGGCCATTCCTATGTGAGCTTCTGGAGTATTACCATCATGGCTATTTTAATATAATCTAAATTAGTGGAACAATGCCCTTGGTTTGTTTTTTGACATGGAAATACATAAAGTTGAATAGTGTTAGGTACTTCCACATAGAACTGTTCATTAACTGCCTGACCCTTGGAAAGATATTCATGATGAATTCCTATTATTGGAAGATCATGAGCTTGACTTAGCTTCTTAGTACCATGCAGTGCTTTTTGGGTCATAGTGATGAAGGGAAATTCCCCACAGAACTCTGATTTTTTCTTTCTGGATTAAATAGATCTACATTTTGTCACTGTCAACATCTTTTTCAAGAAAGTGGATTCAGCAGTAGCTCTTTGGAGATGTACAGGGTATGGAAAAAAAAAGACCAATGACTTTCAGCCTAAATATCTTCCCTCCCAAGAAAGTTATTTTTTGCAAAACTCCCTGGGAGGCAGCAAAACAGGAGGGTCAGCATTTGAGTGTATCCTCCACTCTGCTACCAGCAGACGCTCTAGTCCATTCTCAATGTCTAACTTCCTTTCAATAATTGCTAATAGAATTGTTTTGGCACAACAAATTTGGGTGAAATAACGTATCAGTTGGAAAAATACTAATATATGCAATGTGAAAGTTTACGAAAATAACTATTGGGAGGGAAGATAATTAAGTTGAAAGTCGTTGGTCTTTTTTTTTGCCATACCCTGTATTGTTTGCATGCTGCTGAGAGCTTGCCATTATGACTCTGGCTGCACCTATTGTGGAGTATCATTGACCAACATATCACTTTTCCTTACAATGGTGGTTTGTATCAATCAATCAATGTAGTTGCCAGGTAATCTTCCTTAAATTCCAAATGCTTGGACATGATGTAGTCTTGAAAAACATTTTAATTCGCCCTCAAATTCTTTCCAGGGCAGGAGCCTGCATGTCAATTCCATGACACCTATCTTTTTCTAATATGGCAGTTCTCCTTTGGATAAGGATCCAAAGTCTGGAATTTCCTGTACTTTTTTCAACAACTGGCAGCATGCAAGGTTCTAAAATGGTTCAGGGGAAGGAAACCCCCCCCCCCAAGAGGTGTATAAGAACTGGGGGGAGGGGTAGGTGTGGGCCTATCTCTCCTGTGGCTGTAGCAGAAATATCCCCACTGCTAACAAATCTGGTTGTACTACTGAATCTTGTATATCTTTTTGAGCATGTTTTTTCTTGATGATGGAATGGTCACTTGTTTTGTTTATAGCTCCATATGTAAAGGTGGATATGAATCCAGTAGTTCCTGGGCCATATCTGGGATTGGTATACAAGGATGCCCTGTATTTCTCTATGCACAAGTTTGTAGGAGGAGTTGAGACACCTGGTGAGTCGTGGCTCCACTACATCATGCCTTTTGTTTGAACTGTGACCCAAGGGATTCCCCATTAATTCTATAGCTGCCAACGTTTTTAGGGTAGCTTTGACTCACACTTTCCTTGTACTGGAGGGAGATGAAAGGCCTTCCTGTTTTCTGTTCTTGAATGTGGCTACAATTATTCCTTTCCCTTCATGTACATAGGGTTACACCTGATACGCTTCTTGTAAAGCAATATGATCCTTGAAGATTGACTCTTGAAATGTATTAGATACATGTGAAAAGAATTTTTTTTTAAGTGAAGGAAATTTTTTAGATGATATACTGATTCTTCATTACAAGGGCTATGGGCTCATTTTTAGAAATGCACACCCTGGAAGTTATCCTCACAAATGTATTGTTTATATGTTTTTGCTATATTTTGTCATTTGCTAAATGAACAATTCAGGATAACATTTTTCTAGAGACTTTTCCTACTTAGCAAAACTTCTTAACATAAGAATGGGAAGGCACAAAAATTGAGGAGTTGCCTGAATAAGCTCTAGTCATGACCTCTCTTTTCTTTTTGAATGAGTCATGGTTTAAGAACTAATGCTCCTCCAAAGCTATAATGAACATGATGCAAAAAGTATGGAATTTGCCAAGAGCATAGGGGTTTTGGCTCCAAAACTAAATTTCACCAACTATGATTTATTTGAAGAGACACTCTGATGTACTTAAGATGCAATTCTTATTCAAATATGAGCAGCTTGAGGAAGTTATGTTATGTTAGGTTAGGTTAGGTTAGATTAAGTTTGGTTAGTATGGGTTAGGTTAGTTGCACAGGGTGGGGCATAAATACCTAATGGTATTTTAATTGCAATAACAAATGACTGATAGCAAATTCATTTCATAGTGACACTTTTTACATTGTATATTTTTACATATTTTTACATACATTGGAGAATTCAGTTTTCCACTCCTCAAATTTTTTTTGAAGATGATGTCCTGCAGGTGGGCTCCTCTGTGAGCAATAAATTCTCCTGCACATGTAGACATGGATGACTCAGTGCAGTCAGTCATTGGGGATGTTTTGAATCTCCTGGTGAATATTCTCCTTGAAATCATTGATACTGGCAGGATGTGACATGTACACCTTGCTCTTTAAAAAGCCCTGCAAGAAAAAATCAGGCACTGCCAGGTCTGGTGAGCAGGGGAGGCCATTTCAGGTCCTCAAAGCGAACAAACAAGGCACTGCGAAAGCACTCTACTTGCCCATCACACACACAGGAGAATTTATTGACTGTGGAGGAGCCCATCTGCAGGACATCATCTTCAAAAAAAATTTGAGGAGTGGAAAACTGGATTCTCCAATGTATGCAGAATTTAAAAATATATCACTATAAAATGTATCTGCTATCAGTCATTTGTTATTACAGTTAAAAACCATCAGGTATTAATGCCTCACCCTGAATAAGTCTGAATATAAATTCAAGATTCTCACTTGATACTTTACTGTGAGCATTATAAAAAAAAAAAACCTATTGGGTCAAGTTCTATTTTGAGACCAAAAACCCTTTTGAGCAAATAAATGCCTTACTTTTTTCCACTGTTCTGGTGGGCAGGAATATTGAACAAAGCATTTCCTTGAGGATTACCATGTTTACAACTAACCTAATGGTTTTCTTTGTTGATTGGAGGTCAACAGAGGCAAGACTCTAGAAATTGCTTTTTTTGAGCTTAGTAAAGAACACCAATTGAATTATATAGTTTTTTTTACTCAAATATGTTCTTGGGGCCAAAACTGGACAAACTCCTTATACCGCTTTGTTAATTTTTTTTCTCACAATTTTTATGTCAAATTGTTGAAAATCACCTCTCAACAACAGACCCAATTGTAGGGAAAGTTTGAATGAAGAAATGTATGATTTGAGTTGATGGAATTTCCTCATCCTGAATGACTGCAGGCATATGCCTACCTTCCAAATACACTGCATGTCATTTGAGGTGAATGTTTTGTATTTTTGGTTGTACTTGAAGAATTCTGCTGCTACTTACTATTAAAATGTGTCAAAACAGAAGAAATGTTTTTAAATTTATGAATCTGGAGAATCATATATAATAAGTTGAAATGAATTGCCTCTCATTTATTTCGCAGCAAAAAATGCAAGTTACTTTTAAACTAGAAAATTTAAATTATTCACTTCGTTGATGTGGGGTGTGTTTGAGGAGAGTTCTCCTTATTACTTTTGTTGGGCCTCATATGTTAGCTTAGTTTATGTGGGCACTGTTAGTTTAAGGGTTTAAGTCATTCACCTAAATGATAGGGATAAGATATTCCAGTGGTTCCCAAACTTTTTTTTTGCAGCACACATGTGGACACCTGAACTTTCCACAACACACCCAGCCTTTTACTTACTTTCAATGGGAAACTTGTGCTTGCTTTGCTGAATCCAGCAGTTTGATATGAGGGGTAATAGTGAACTCTCCACTTGTTTTCCACTGACAGATGGCTTTCTCTCTTGTTTTTAAGTTATTTTAGATTTGGTTTTTAGTTTTTTTTGTCAACTCTCAAATTTCACAGCATACCTAAGCCTTACTGGTGGCACACCATTTGGGAAACACTGAGATATTCTAATAAAATCCTCTCATCTAGTGCATTGAAATATTTTGAGCCAATTGTGCATGTATGAATTCCTTTCAGGCATTTTGATTGCAAAGAAGAATCTATTCAGGAATATTGTGCCTGAAACATGTGGAGGGGGCACAGTTTTCTTTGTCACCAAAGAGGATCATCGTTACCTCAAGGTATTATACCTCTTGTTAGTGCAATGGCACATTGTTCTCACTTGAATTTGAGCCTCATGTTTATCATTTCACTGCAGGACATTGAGAATCGTGAAGAAGGAGGCACACCAGCAATCATTCAAAGCATCAGAGCAGGGCTCGCAATGCAGCTCAAGATGTGGGTTAACCCCACCAGAATAATGAGAAACGAGGAGGAAATATGCAGGTCTGCATGTCATCAGACTGCATTAGTTTTTATGTGAAGTAAATCTGACTTGTCTGATTAATTCTGATTTCTTGGCAGCACTCTCTGTGGGAACCAAAGCAGCACTTTCACATTTCTTGTGAATTTGAGGTTTCTAATCATGAAAATGCACTAATAAGTTTCATTGTGTGTTGCTTTCTTTTGAATATCATAGGAAAGCTTGGAATGCATGGAATGATGTTGAAGAGCTGGTGATCCTTGGAAGTCAATGGAAGACTCGATTGGCAATCTTCTCCTTTTTAGTGAAGCCTTTCCCCAAGAGAAACTTGTTCTTGCATTACAACTTTATATGTGTCCTTCTCAATGACCTGTTTGGAATTCAAGCAAGAGGTGGCTGTGCCTGTGCTGGACCTTATGCTCAGAATCTTCTTGGCATAGATGTCAAAATTGCTCATCAATATGAAAGTCTCCTCCTTGAAGACAGGTTCTATAATTTTTCATGAATCTGTATCAATTTCCTCTCCCTCAGACATTGGTGGGAGTGGATTTTTAAACATTGGGTAGGGTAATATTGGTGTGCAATAATTATTTACATTTTATAATGGTAGACTCCTTGTGATTGGCTGTTTCAGTCGTCTGGACAGAACCCACCTCCGAAGGCATGAAGAGGGGTCTGATAATGAGTCATTGAGGCCAGGATTTGCTCGCATCAACTTGAGCTACTTCAGTTCTGCAGAGGAGATTGATTTCATAATTGAAGCTGTGAAATTGATAGCAAAAGATGGCTGGAAGCTTCTGCCTTTGTATCGCTTCAATCTACAGACAGGGGAATGGTTGCATCATACAGAAACTGTGAGATGTGCCACCTCTTACTGATTTGATACCTACCTATTCCCATGCATAGTCTCACCATCATGATTGAGTGTCCTCTCCAGAAATATATGCAGTTTTAGCCAGATAATTCATGCAATCCTCTCTCTTCCTCTTTAAAGAGGTTCCTGTTAGAGTGGTTTTTTGCCCAACATTAAAAGATGTAATCATGACTTTAGGCTTTCAAGGACCGAAAATGGCTGAGTCGTCTTCATTTCCATGATGGTGAAGTGGGACATGACCTGGTGCCTGAGCTACCCACTTTGAGGCAGCCACCAGCAACATATACTGAATGTATGAATGAGGCCACATCCATCCTCACTGATGCATCTAAGGTGACATAGGACAAACATATCCATTTCTTTATGCCCTTGCCTTGACTTGGGATATACATGGACAAAAACGCCATATCATTGCATAATTTTTATGCATATTTTCTTTTTTTGTCCTACTTTATAGTTGGTGGCCCATCGGAAGCTTCCTGATGAGTCTGTTTTGTTCTCAGACGAAGTAAACAAGTGGCGTTGGTTCCTACTTCCTAGCGAAGCAAGAGACATCTTGATGCATTTGGGGAAGATATCTTCTCTGTCAGAGGCACCATTCACCCCTAGAACATACCATCAAGTGGATGACTCTCAATTAAAGAACCATGAGTCCTATTGGACAGATTTCCATGAAGGAATGTATGACCCCTTGAATGAACTTCACACATCTGCTCGGAGTCAGTTGGCATCCTTTGTCAAGCATCAAGAGCATCATCACCAAGATGACCGAGTCCAAGAGTCTCATCATGATGGAAAATCCTTTCTGAACAGCGTTCAAAGTGTCTGGAAGCACTTCAAGCCACCCAAGGAAAAAAAGACAGAAGATTTGAAATTAGGTAACAGGAGGAAATTCTCATGTCCAGATGAAAACCTTGAGTTCTTAAGAAAAGGAGAGGAAGGAGGAAAGCCTTATGAGAGGGGACTACATAAATCCTCAGAAGAGATCCTTATACCAGTGGAGCAAATGCAGTGGCATTCTCCTCCTAAATCCATCATCAAACCTGCTCTTGAGGTAATGGAGTATCCTAACCTCACTAATGTCAGTTGTACCCCACAGAACTTCATGAAAGATTCTTCATACAGGCATTGGAGGAGTACCAGATGATTCAAGGAGGAGATCGTGTCCTGGTCTGCTTGTCTGGAGGAAAAGACTCCATGTCCTTGCTTCATACTCTTCGACAGTATCAGTTCATAGCAAAGGCTCAACGATTGTATTTCTCACTGGGAGCAGTAACAGTGGATCCAGGAAGCAAGGCCTACAATCCCCGCCCTCTCATCCCATATCTTCATAGTCTTGGAA